CCTTTTTAATCCCCTCAAAGGACAGCCTCAGATGTACCAAGAAATGGGGAAATCAAGGATTCTTATAAGAAAAGTCTGCACAAGGAGATCTCTTCTAACAACAAGTAGGTTTCTTCGTTAGGGGGGATGAAGGAGTCAGGTTCGGCTCGAGCTCCCTTTCAACGGCTGTAGACAGGTGGTTCTTCTTGATCTCACTCTCTCTCTCTTTCTCTGAGTTCGTTGGAGGAAAAAAAGGAAAAAAAAAAAAGAAGGCTATAGGGAGCGATTTACTCTAGTGCGAATAAAGAGGAAGGAGAAGAATGGAGAAATAATAAAAGAAGAATGAGGAAGTTGGTATCTGGGAAACCGCAAATAACTGTTAGAGCTTATGAATTTGATGTTTGGGTTGGGTCTAATTATTTTGCCCATTCCAGCGCTTATCCATGGCCCTAATAATTAAGAAGGCTAATGTTAAGGCCCAAAAAATCTAAGGTTGGACCCAAATAAATTCATGGCCCAATGCAACACCTTATTAAGAAAAGATTCAGTTCGGAGCACGCGAAATTCGTCATGCACGCTTGCACAAGCCACGACTACATGCCATGCCAAATAATATGCAATCCATCAAGCTAAGAATTGAAATGCACCTATAAAAGGCACTGGCTTTACAAGCCCATACTAATTATTCTGTCAAACATCATATCCCTTTTCAAAGCGATAAAGTTCGAGCATGCCTATCAACATGCAATGCCAAGCATAAAAACTTTATTTTGCACATAGCCACGCTACAAGCTTAAGTGGGCCCAAGCCACGCAAATGCCCAAGCCGTGCTGATTGGGTTGTGGTATGCATGGTAACGAGCTTTCATGAGGCCCATTGATAAGCCAAGATATGGAAGTTTTGGGCTGCTTGGGAGCCCCAAAACTCAAGCCCATTTCTTGAGCCCAAATATATGGGTAAACATAAAATAGAGAAAAAAGCCCAATACTTTAGGAAAAATTAGCCAATCATCTCAATAAAATAGCCTATCACTTTAGGAAATTATCCCATTTCCTTAAATAGGTTAACCCATCACCTTAGGAAAGCCCAAGCAACCAAAGAAAATATTTATAATCTCCAGCACTTAGTTGGAAATAAGAGCCACGATGAAAGCCAAAATATCCAGGTATGTAAGCTGCTGGAAGGCTCCAGCACATGGGCAAAAACAAACATCAAGGTAGAATACGCAAAGAACCAATGGGTATTAGCGTGCGCAAAGCAGAAGCACCCTTCAAACCAACGCCCTTACCAATTTCTTTCTCCTACCAGCTCTTGCCATGGAAGAGGGAAGGAAAGAAGGTGAAGAGTTAGTCAAAAATAGGAGTTCAACACTAAAGTAGCTACAGGAACGCCTTAGAGTTCCCAAAAATCTTGTCTTTGTGTGTTTGGACAGAGGAAGATTTCACAAAATGGGGTGAATCAAAAGGAGAGAAGAGAAATGTAAGGGGAGACTTGGCAAAATTGGAGAGAAACCATTAGGGTTTCTTGGAATGGAGGAGCTTCCAGCGGCTATAAAAAAAGGTCATCTCCTACCCATCAAACAAGACATCCAAAGAGCAAGCTTCAACTCTTATATCTGAAACCTCTGCAATTTCGAGCCTCATTCCTCCATCTCTTCCCATTTTCTCTTCTGGCAAGTCATTCCAGAGTTTGACAGAGCTTTTGTCAGGCTGCCAAAAAATTACGCAACACACTCATTGTTCTTCCCATCTCTCTCTCTCTCTCTCTCTCTCTCTCTCTCTATTTTCAACGAATCCTCTCAAAATATCATTCTCCCCTTACCTTAAACCCCTGTTTCTCATAGGAAATCACAGTCTTCTTTCTCTTTAATGTTAAACTCATGACTGCTTTACTCATATGCCACAAGCCTCTCATGCCAACCTAAGTATTTATCTATAAGCGACTGTTAGTTTTGCTGGTGAAAGTAACCAAGGTGCTTCATAAGGCTTAGCTACCATTTTGAAGCATTCTTGGGGTCTGATTCCTGAACTCAGACTCAAGGGGCAATTTTATACATTTGGCTCTTTACAGCAGCTTAAGACCATCAGTAACTGTCGAAACGAAAAATCCCCTGTAAAGAACAACAGAGTACTCCCCCTGGGACTTGCTTCTCCTTCGGGAAGCTTTGGGCCTAGTTCTCGCTAACTCGAAAAAAGGGGCAACGAAGCTTGATTCACCACTCTATGTCAGTCCAAGAATTAACAAGCTCGGACAACCCTTCTGACGAGAAAAGACCCCCAACAACTTACATATTAGTGGTCTCAGGTTCGAACCCTTATAACACCATGGTATTCTGTGTGTCACTTTTTTTAAAAACTGCTTCTGATGTGCTTTGAAAATAATGAGCTGTAAAGTAGTTCCATGTTTGATCAACAATTTTAAAGTGTTAGTATAAAAAGCAATGTCAAAACTATTTGGTAAATTTTAATCTAAAACTGTTGTAATTGTGGATAATGACTAAAATTGACATGATGTTGTTGGTAAATTTTCATATAAAACTATTGTAAATGTTAATAATGACTAAAAAGGACATTATATTAAAAGTGTTATATGCTAACCATGCGGTGGTGGTGGTGGTGGTGGTAGAGGTTGAGGTAAAAAATTCACTATTCTCTGCTAATTATGAAAACAGCTTTCAAAAGTAATCTAGAATCTGCTTTAAAAGCTGCTATTAAGAGCGTCTCCAATTGATGTGTCAAACGTACCACATAGACAATTAACAGCTAGAAATAACATCTCACATCACTCCAACCGATATGTCAAAGCTGATATGGAATAAAGGCTGGAGGTTGAGATGTTATTTTTGACATCCTAAAAGCAAGATGTCAAATGAATATTTTATTATTTTTTCTTTTCTTTTCTTTTTAATTAAAAAATGAATCAACACTAAAATGTAATAAAATAATAATTTAATTTGACATATCGGATAGAGTGTAAAGCTGTATAAGAGCATCTCCAAAAGAGATGTCAAATACCAAACATCAAATTTAAATTTGATGGCTGATGTGACAATTTGACATTTACACAGTTTTACAATCCACCCGATATGTCAAATAAATAATTACTGTAACAGTCAAATCATTTAAGATAAAGAAGAAAAAAAAAAGAAAATAATAAATGAAAGTAACAGCCAGCTATCTTTAAAAAATAATAAAATATTTATTTGACATTTTACTTTTTGGATGTCAAAAATAACATCTCAACCTCTAACTTTCATTGCACATCAGCTTTGACAATTCAGTTGGAGTGATGTGAGATGTTATTTCTAGCCGTTAAATGTCTATATGGCACTTTTGACACATCGATTAGAAATGCTCTAAGATGTCAAATTGTCACATCATCCATCAAATTAAAATTTGATGTTTGGTATTTGACATCTCTCTTGAAGATGCTCTAAGAGGTCATTGCTTTTAAAAATAAAAATAAAAATTTAACCAAACATCTTAAACTACTTAATTTAAAGTGAAGTTGATTTTTAGGGAAAAAAAAAAAGAAAAAGCATTCCCTCCCAACAAAGCCTGAGTCACTTCGTATTAGACTTTGGATAGGAGTAAATAGTTTATGTCAGTTGTTTGGTGTCAACTTGTATTATTTAATTACCGGACTATATTAAACGAATTAGATTTTTAATACTCTCCTTACCCGACTAACTAATACAATCCACACACTCCAGTTTAGATAATACACACTTAATTATAAGATTAGGAAAAAAAACACGCTCTACATTTCTTCTTTGCTATCTTCTCCTCAGATCTCTCTATCTCTCTCTCTCTCTCTCTCTCTCTCTCTCTCTGATGGGTTGATCAGCAGCTAATCACTACTCCGATGAACCTCTAAACCAGCAGGTCGGCTCTTCCTCCAGCACCTAATTAACGAAATAATCCATTGTACCATAGACATAGACTCAATCAAGTCCCCTCCTCTTCAACCACAGATTCTCACAATTTTGGTTCCCTTTTAGTTTTGATTGATGCCCATCTTAGTTTCGAGTATGCGTTGTTCAGTGTTAAAGAAATACATATTTGGATATTCCATTGTGTAGGAAATTATTTGCTATACAAATTGACAGATTTTTTTTTTATAGATTTGGTAGATTGTGGGTGTGAGCGTGGGGTGGGGGCTGCTCATGTTCCAGATTGGGGGTTGGATGTGTTGAGAAGATTTGGGGATGGACTACGATTGAAAAAAATAAAAAGGCCTGAAGCAAAAGACCTTAGAGTAGAATTTGGTGAATTTGATAGTAGAGGTTCAAAAATTGGATTTCTGTTCTTGGGTTGAATTATTGATAACAGAGAAACATTAATTTCTATGGTTCTTGGTTGTGGTTCTATGCTCACAATAGACAGGATAGGCCCTCCCAAGCGAAACATAATTGTATACATCCTTGATGATGGAATGGCATTGAAGATCCAATTGATGATATAAAATCGCACTGTAGTTTCAATTTTGTGTGTGTGTGTGGTAAATCTAGCATTGTACGTTTTGCATGTATAGGATGTCAATACACCTCGATTAAATTAAACTGAGTCACTTTTTCTTTTTTATTTATGGAGTTCGATCCATTGTTATCCGACGGAGCACCAAACACAGTATATTGTATAATTTAGTCAGACTATTTATCCAGTGCAGTACTAAACGCCTTATAATATTATAGATAAACAGTCAGAACTCTCCAGAACGAATTAATATTATCTGACTGAAATTAGTCAACACAATCCGATGTACCAAACGAGAGTAAACGAAAGGTCAAAAGAGAAGAAAAACGGCGCGCAAGTAGGTCGTTTTAGCATTTAAGGAGGAGGATAGCGAGACGACGTCACTAAATTGCATAATTTGGTAATCTACGACAAACAGCAGGCTATTACGGCACAACAGAAACATCAAAACAAAAGAACTGTCTCCACCAATGAGGGACCGCGCAGATCACAAACCAAAGGTCTGTATGGTCTTTTTAAATTTTTATGGCCACTCCAAAGGCGACACGCGTACCACGAAGCAAACAAATTTACTTCTTTCGGAACACGAACTCTATAGCTGTTACATAAACTCCCCAGTTCTTCTCTCTCTGTCACTTCCTCCCTCTCTCTCTCCTAGGGCACAGAAATACCGAAATCCATTCAAAGATTTCATTTTCTTTCTCAGACCTCGTGCGTTGTAGCCATGGCGGACGCTCCTTCCTCTCCAGCAACAAACCTAGAATCCAATCCCCAATCCGATACCCCCAAACCCCAGTCTAACCCACCGGATCCCGTTCCCGCTTCCACACCACCGCCATTATCGTCATCAATCCCCATCCCCGTAAACCCTAATTCTAATCCGCCTCTGGTGTCTCTGCCACTGCCGCCGCCGCCTCCTTCGATCTCCTACGCTCCACAACAGGTCTCCGGTGCCGGACCTCCGTCGGCGCCGTCGTTTCGGCCGGTTCCTCAGTTCTCTCCAATACCGAGCCCCGGCGTGCCCAATCCGAATTATCAAAACCCCGGTGTCCAGCCGCCCGGCGTGAGCTCTGGGTCTCCGATGGCTCCCGGTGTGCCCCCGCCGTCCTCGGTGCCGCCGCATATGATGCATTACCAGATGCAGCCCATGAGAGCGTACGCGCCGATGCCTAATGGATACGCGGCCATGCCCACCGGTGCTCCTCAAGGCGCCATGCCTCTCCCTGGTGGGTTTTTGCTTCTGTGTACATCTCCGACGTTAATTTACATAGTGTAATTGTTGCATATGATTGTCTTTTAAACTGGTTTATTGCTTATCTGTATCTATTATGGTGGTTCTCATATTGCAATTGCTTTTGTGTTATTTTTCTTTGAGTTGTTTAGTTTATTTTGCTCCAGCTGATTAATAAGCGCGAAATTGCTTGAATGCATGAAGCTTTCTGTTTCTCAGTCTGGAAAAAGTGAAAAAGTAAATGACTTTTTTAATAGCATATCGAGCTGTTGCATCTAATTTATGGATAGCAAGTAAATGAAGATTAATGGTATAATGTAGTGGGAAGAGTTTGTTAGAGCAGAGTTCGGAGTTTGTAAAAAAAAAAAAACAAAAAACAAAATTCAGTGTGTTAGATTAAGGGTATCGATGACAAGATGTTTTCTCCTACAGTGTCTTGATTGAATTCGGTGAGAAAGGTTGGAAGGCTTGCTTCATATTGCTTTGAGAACTCCCCATCTACAACTCCTTTTTTGGTATGCACATATTCTAAAGTTTTATATAAGCTCAAGTTGGTCTTCGAGTTCAAAATTTAAATAATATTCCCACAAATTGGAAACTTTTATTTTTCAATTTGTCATGCTAAAGTTGTATTATTATGTCGTGCTCATTTTAGTAGGATGCTTTCTGGTAGTTTTAAGGATACTTTCCCTTTTCATGGGTTTATGAATTGCCAGAAGCAGACCATGTTTGCAACTGACTGCTCATTGCCCTTGTGTTCTAAGGTATCACAATCCTTCCAACTGCAGTCTCACTATCCACACCCACACACACATACACACACATATATATTTATTTATGTCCATCATCCATTCATCTATCTATCTATCTATCTATCTGTCTATCAATCAATCTACTTATCTATAAATCTAAACATCTAATCATGTGTTTGTGTGTGTTATATGTTGTGCATGCTTGTTTTGTATTTTTTTAATCTTTTGTTGTTCTCATACTGCATCACCTGCTGCTATCTCTCCGAGATCAATTGAACTATCAATATATCTAAATATATACAACTTTCATCAACCTCTATATGCATGAGATGTTGATGGTTTTATATTACTTGAGAAGGCTACTATGGTCCAAGTGGCTGAGTAAGGTAAGCACAGTTTACTCATTCATGGTTTATGAACACGATGCTATTTCTTAATTTTTCCTTCAGGTTATCTGTTCAGCTGGTGGTAGTTGCCATGCCTGTGCTGCCATCTCTAATATGCTTTTAATGTGTGGTAACAAAAATCAATCATTTCTTGTCATATTGTTTTTTGATACATCTGTTTAATTGGGGTGCACCTAGTTATCATGGTATGCAGTTAATAAACGTGATCTGATGTATTTGCAAGATATTTGTTTCTTTCTTTGTAGGACTTGCTCGTTATCCTTCTCCATATCATGCAATGCTTCGGCCTGCATTTACTCCACGTCCACCAGGAGCAATTGGTTCGCTTCCAGGTTTACCACGTGGCCCTGTTCCTGGGATTCCTGGAGTTCGCCCAATTATGCCCCCTGTTGTTAGGCCAACTCTTCCTAGTGTTACTCCAGCTGAGAAACCACAAACCACTGTTTATGTTGGGAAGATACCACCAACCGTGGATAATGATTTTATGTTATATCTCCTCCAGGTGTGCTTTCAAATATTGTGATCTGCCTTCTTTATCAACTTTGCCGCTATGTTCTTTTTATGTTACCAAAATTTTATAAGTAATTTCGTTGCAGTTTTTGGTGTATGATATTTTGCTTTGTGATGGTTTTACATTTTGTTAAGTTATGTGGACCTGTCAAGAGTTGGAAATGTACTCAAGTTCCTACGGATGCGACTCCTAGAGGGTTTGGGTTTTGCGAATTTGAATCTGCTGAAGGAGTTCTTCGTGCATTACGCCTTCTGAGTAAATTTAACATTGACGGGCAGGACCTTGTGGTATGTCCTGATTCCTTGTTTATATATTTTGTTTTTCATTTTGTCTTTTTGTCATTGTCATTATGTTGCAACAGGAATTTACATTCCCTTTCCTTTGTAATCATATTCTTCATACTGCACGCTCAGTTTTGCTAATGTTTGTTTTTTCTATATCTGATGTTGTAAACTTAACAGTTAAATGTTAACCAAGCAACGAGAGAATATCTGGAGCGGTTTGTTGAGAAGAAAACTGAAAACTCAAAGAAGCTTAAAGCAGCTGAAGCAGCTGAGAAAGAGGATGAAAGTGCACTAGGTGTTGAGAAGAATGTATCTTCAAATCCTGCTGTATTGGACTCAAAGGAGGAGGATAGTAATTCGAGTAACAAAGAAAATGACGCTGCCAATTTTGGAATTGTGACTGACGAAGACAGAGAAGCTGACCGCGAAGCTATGGAGAAGCTTACAAGCTTGATAGAGGAGAGGTTAAAAACCAAACATCTCCCTCCACCACCCACACCAGCTCCTGGCAATGGCACTGGGAATTCAAACTCAGAGTTGCCAGCTAAATCAAGGGATGGAGACTCTGATGTTGATATAACGCGAAATGGTAAAGTCTCATACTTGAAACTAGTATTATACTGGGCACTGTTTTGTGATTATTGAATTTTGTACTTAATAAGCAATGAAGTTATTTAGAGTCAATTATTTGGTGACAGTTTTGTTGTCATAGTCATAGTCGTCGTTATCATTTTCAGATGCTTCAGAAGAAAAAAATGATGAAGAGACAACTAGTGACAACAAAGCAACAAGTGAGCAGGATAGGCCTGAAACAAGCTCACCTGACAGGAATAGAAAGCAAGATAGGAGGAGTAGAGACAAAGAGCGAGATCTGAAACGTGAAAAGGAGCGTGAGATTGAAAGATATGAAAGAGAAACAGAACGAGAACGGGTACGGAAGGAGAGGGAGCAAAGGAGAAAAATTGAGGATGCTGAGCATCAGTATGACAAATGTCTCAAAGATTGGGAGCACAGGGAAAGGGAGAAAGAGAAACAAAGGCAGTATGAGAAGGAGAGGGAGAAAGAAAGGGAACGCAAGAGGAAGAAAGAGGTAATTTATGAAGAAGATGACGAGGATGAAGATTCCAGAAAAAAGTGGAGGAGGAGTGCGCTGGAGGAGAAGAGAAAGAGGAGACTACGGGAGAAAGAAGATGACTTGGCTGACAGGCAGAAAGAAGAGGAAGAAATTGCTGAGGCCGAGAGGAGGGCCGATGAGGAAAAGCAGCTACAGCAAGAAAGAAATGCATTGAGGGATTTATCTGTCCATGTAGCTAATGGAAGCGAACAAGCGGCTTTGGCTGAAGAATCCTTTGTGGAACTGAGAGATAAGGCTACTGAACAGAATAATGAGGGTGATTCTGGTCCTGAGAATCATATGGGTAAACTAAAATTACTTGTGAAGTTATTTATTGCTTTTATAAACCTTTTATCTTTCTTCCCTTTCGTTTTCATTTTTTCTTATATGGTTTGACTTGATGTGATAGGTTATGGGACTTTACAGAATGGAAACAGTGGTGATGAGTCAACAATGACATCAGTTCATGCATCAGAACCACAGCAGAGTGGCAGTGCCCCAGCAAAAAAGTTGGGTTTTGGCCTCGTCGGGTCTGGAAAACGCACTGCTGTTCCTTCTGTTTTCAATGAGGAGGATGATGATGCACACAAGGACAAAAAAATGAGGCCACTGGTTCCCATTGATTATTCAACTGAAGAACTGCAGGCTGTCCAACAAACTGCTTCTGGGCCTCCATCAAATTTGGCTGCAGCTGCAGAATTCGCAAAGCGAATTTCAAATGTTAGCTCTAGGGAAGAGAAACCAGATATAGATAAGGAAAGAAATAGACGTGCTAATGATAGGTCGAGCCAACGGGATAGGGACAGGAGTGATGATGACACTAATCGCACTAGAGATGAGAACAAGGAGAAGACTGACCGTGATACCGATCGAGAACATGGGCTGGATAAACCAAGGACAACGGATAACAAAAAGCTTTTGGATGCGAAACAACTGATTGATATGATTCCAAAGACGAAAGAGGAATTATTCTCATATGAAATAAATTGGGCTATTTATGACAAGGTAAGCATGCATTAGGCCAAAATTCTGAAATTTGTTGTTTAAACTTGGGCTACATGAGTGAAAATTATTCATTGTAATTGTTTAATAACTGCTCATAAATTGTGTTTGATGTTTTCTACTTTCACAGCATGCACTACATGAGAGAATGAGACCATGGATTTCAAAGAAGATTACAGAGTTTCTAGGAGAGGAAGAGACCACACTGGTAGACTACATTGTATCTAGTACTCAGGAACATGTGGGAGCAGAACGCATGCTACAGCTGCTTCAATCCATTTTAGACGAGGAAGCTGAAATGTTTGTTCTCAAGATGTGGAGGATGCTCATCTTTGAAATTAAGAAGGTTGAGACAGGTCTTGCTTCAAGAACAAGAGCATGAACGTGAACACGACGGTTTTGTTTGTAGGTTGTATTTTTGTTGCTGTAGACCTGAGTCTTGTTAGTATTATACATCCATTGGCCTCTCGCTTGTTTCAGTCCTTCTTACATAGGATGGATTAGCATAGATGGCTGTCAAGGCTAAACCATATTCTTCTGTTTGTATTGCTTCAAAGTACAGTTTTAGTCCATAAGCAAATAAACCCGTTTTTGTCTTCATCTCTCTTGTGGGTTGTTTGTAGCTTTGGAATCTATTAGATGTCCTGTTGGTAATTCTTTGCCAAAATAATACTTGTATTCGTGTTTGGCGCTTTCATTATGGGCATAATATTTTTAAGTGCATGACACGAGAATTCTCTCTGGCCATTACAGCTGTGTTCGCTCTTAAGAACAAGAGGCACATGCATCCAACCCATGTGTATTATTTTGTAAGGTGCAGGTTTGTATTCTGTGAGGCACTTGAACTTTGTATTCTGTCGCTAGGTCAGTAGATGGAGAAGTACTTCCCCATCCCTGTTTCATTGCACCTCACTTTATCTCTCTCCATTGATAGGTTATTGGTTGATTATGAGGAGAGAGAAGATAGGTGTAATGGAACAAGGATAGGGAAGTTTTTCTCATATGACATTGGCTTTCGTTTTAGGAGCCGGATTTCATTTGGAAATGCAATGACTCTATAAACCCTGGTCTCTTGTCGGTTGTGGTGGATGAAACACTACAAAGGGATTGGGAGAACGGAACCAGAACTACAGCCAGCAAGGGGTCCAATTAGAACTAAAGTTTATAACTTGATGACCACCAGTAAAGCAACACATCCAGACTTCCATAATTCAACTGAACAAATTGACAGATCAACTAACCATTTACAATTCATAACCCATGTTTTGGGAAAAGGAAAAAATTACAATATTTCAAACAGTTGAGTTACACAGCTTTACAAAAGGAGGGTACTAGCAAACCCAACCCAACTCATCCCCCAACAGTGGGACTTGGCAACAGCAGTACGTTTGGGAGTTTCTGGTGTAATAAAATTTGCTCAAAACTCAGATGACCCAGAACCAAGATACAACTGAACCAACAGCCAAACCCACAACTAAGAACAACACAATCACAATCCCTGCAGTCTCCGCATGCTGTAATTGGACGATCTTGGGAGCCAAAATCATCAACACACTTGTCAAGTAGCCATTAGTAAGTCCCAAAAGGCAAGTAAGTATTGTCACTGGAATCTCTGTTCGGAAGAATTTGGGGCCATGCAAGCACCCATAGAAGAGAGGAAAGAAAAGCAATCTTATAACTGTGCCGCCGATCGCTACCTTAGAATTTTCGAGGAGATATACAGAAGTCAGAGACTTGCCAATAAGATCAAACACATTGTAGCCTGTAATAAGGAGGATTGAGTACCAATCCTTGAGAATCTGAGAGTGTACATCTTCAGTAATATATCCTGGAAATATTGCCAAAGTCACAACATAGATAAGAATGATGCCAGATCCATACCACTTGACTCTGTCAACTACGTGCCACAAAGTTGATCTCAACACAGACGCAGTCAAAGGACCATTCTCTTCCTTCTCCTCATTTATAGCCTGAGTCTTCAACTCCGCATAGTACTTCATAACTGGAAGCCTTGGTGCCACATTGTAGAAAACAAGGCATATGACCATAACTACTATCCCGACAGCGAAGTAAAGGTTTGCGCTTTTTCTCAGGCCATCAGCATTTTGTGGATATACAGCCTTAGTTATGATCCTCAGAGCAGAAACAAGGACTCCTGGAATCAATCAAAAATTTGGGAAAACACATTTTAGGCATCCCTCGTGAAACTTTGATGAACTTACATAATTAGTAAACATAGAATAGCAAAATTTCTATGCTTTCTAGTCTGTTAGTCAGCAATGAATTTTTCATTTTTTTACTTTGACAGAGAACTACTTATTCCACAAATGCTGGAAATCTTAAAACATTCTAAAAAGGGCTTCCTTTCTTTGATACCAAAATCAACTCAAAGCAGCATTTATTACACAACCACCACAAAGTTACCAAAACAAATTCTGAGCGCTTATAATTCACAGAACGAAGCCATACCCAGAAACCAAAACCAAATAAAGAGCAAAACCCATAAACTGAAATTATCCCCAACAAACCAAATAGCAGAATTTACCTGAACCGGCAGTCCCAGCCACAACGGCTTGCATATAAGTCTCGGGCAACTCACTAGCCGCCCCAATGAGCGAGCCTTGAACCAAAGCATCAGCCAAACCCGAAAGCGCAACCGTTGCAACCGTCACGTAAAACCCGTCGTACAACCCGACCCGACCTTTGATGTAAAAGACATCCATGAGGGGCACGATGAGCAGGCAAACAACGAAGAGGCCCAAACCCACATTGATCCGGACATAAGCGTCGGACTTGTGGGCGTAGAAGATTACGATGAGGAGGCAGACGAGGCCCACCACGAAGTACGCGACGGCGAATATACGATCCACGCTTTCATCTGGGTAGAGGTAGGCGAAGTAATCGACGGCTGTGATGAAAGCGTTCCATGGGAGGAGGTAGCCAGCACCAAGTGTGAAGTAGATGATGTAGGCCAAGTGGAACGAGTCCTTTGGGATTTTATTGGGTGTGGTGGCGGATACGGTGGGGAGGAGGACGCTTGACTCGGAATCTTCGTCGGCGGTTTTGGCATTGAAACCCATCGGAATCGGTGCGTTTTTCTCAATGGGTTTCTGGGTTTGGGTCCGGCGGATGAGGAGCAGCTGAAAAATCCCCAAAGCTTCAAGCTTTTCTCTTTGGTGAAGATAAAAATTTGGGGTTATTGACCGAAATGGTCCCCAAGTTTTGCTCAAGTCTCATTTTGGTCCATCAATTAAAATTTTCATTTCAATAGCCCTCTAATTTTCTGTAGTGTCAAATTGGTCCTACCGTAAAAATCCGCCAATTTTGCCGTAAAATTCAGGGGTAAAATCGTATTTTTAGAACGCAAACCTTTGTGGTGCTCTCTGGCTCTGCTGCTTCTTCACGGGATGAGCTTGTTGAGGCAAGGAGGAGTCCTTCCTCTTGCTGGCGACAAATGCGATGAACCGAAAATCGGAATGAACAAAGTTGTGCGAGCTAATCTTACGGTTTGCCTTGGAGATGTTGTGTCTATTCATCATTGCCCTGATGTCAAGTATAGAAACCAGGTTCACATCCTCCAATTGATGATACAATTAAAGGGGTAACCGGAAACTTGTTTGATCCATATAAAAAGCGTGAGTGTTCTCTTTCAAAGCGTAAGACTGTTTTGATACCAAATGAAGAATTAGAGAATTATTGAAATAAAAAATTTAGTTCGTGAATTAAAATAAAACTCGAGCAATAGTTGAACCATTTCAGTCAAAAACCCATAATTTGGTGGTGGAGGTTTGGTAGGACAATATGCTTTTTTGGGTCGAAAGTTAGGTAGGACTGTTGGTGGAGTTGAAGATGGAACAATACAGCGTCGTTTGGGGTCAATTATTGAGACGTACTCAACAATCCCATATAAAGTATAGTCACGTGCTTCCATTTGAGGGGGTTTGAAGATATTTGCTTTTTTAACAAGGCAGCGAAGGTTGGCTCCAAGGGAAGGGACAGTTGTTGGCATAGAGCTGAGGAATTTGGACCATCTCCTACTTTTCTGGGAAAAGAATTGCTTGACTAAAACCCAGCTGTTAAGTGGGTCCCTGTTAATTTCAGGGTAAAAGTTGAGCCCACCCGGACAAGGCCAAGACCCAAGCTCTTTGTTTTTGGATGAATTCTATTGGCATTATGAAATTACTTGATATAGCTTATCAATCTCAAAATGTGCATAGCATAAAATAAAAGAACATAAAGTAAATTATTTTATATGGTAAATTGCTATTTCTGGGGAAAATTTACAGAACTCTTTAATTCAAAACAAATCCACTATACAACGATACAAGAAGTACTCACTCACATACTTATCCTAGACACATTCTAGATAATGTTTATCGACTTCTTGTAACTCAACTTCTGTCATAGAATGATCTTCTGACACTGCTTATGTTGAACGCCTGAGAAAAATTACCACCACGGTCTTAGTGCCCTCAACTGTATGAGTCACTTAACATGTAAATGAATACAATATGAATTATAAAAGTATTTAATAAATCACCAAATAAACATGGAACACTTGATAAATTATCTCAAAGTTATGCACAACAGCTTTCTTAGGAATTTTAGATGCTTACATACAAATCTTGAAAGTATTTTAGGATGCTAATAAAAAAACGTCATCTTTTGCACAATCTAATAAAAGATGTCTTTCACTACAATTAACTATTGTAAAAGGAAATAATATTTATCAAGATAAATCAATGAGACCAATTAGGTAGGAGAGGAATTTAATAGAGCAACGTGCCCTCCAAGTCATAAGAGGAAAAGTAATGTTTTAATGAGAATCAAACTAAGGTCCAACTAGGAAAGTAATCTCAAAAAATAAAATCTAATCCTATTAAAAATAAGACTAATACATAAGCACTTGAGTGAAAATAACTCCAACTAAGAATCCTATCATAAATGCATGATTATGTCATGATTTACCTGAAATCAATTGAGTGTTGCTATTTCCACCCCCTTGTCCTATTTCCCCACTCATCTTATCTTCCCACCCACTTTATAAATTTGAAAAAAAAAAACACAATTCTAACTTTCCACCCACCATTATTCCTAAAATACCATTTGATTATTCAAACAAATTCTCATATTTATGACGCATGTCTACTGGTAATTCTCAAATCTAGAATTTCCATCCTGAAAACCAAAACATATTTATCATAAAAAGAAGAATAATGCTACTCTTACCACATTTGTATACTACATCTCTATACCATCTTATGTGGCAGCTAAGATGTACAGGCACATCAATTAAAATTATTTAATATCTTCTTTTCTTTTATGATTGATTCTAGTATTTATTTTTTAAGTTGTCTTAATTAAAATACACTTCATTAATTTAATTGATGTGACATATAATATGGACATGCCACATCATGTGGTATGAAAATGTAAGATAAAAATGTAGTAAGTGTAACATTTCAATTTTAAATATACCCAATGATGACAGCAAGAATGAAGGTAAAAGCTGGCATGAGATCAATCATTGCAGAGGCCATAGTTGGAGAGCTTTTATCCTAATAAACTTTAGCAGCTGCGCGTCACAGCTTGAAATCATGTTCAAACGAAGTTAAACATCATTAACCTAAATATATAGTAAAACAGATACATGTAGATCAGCAGAGATGACTAAATTTAAACTACCTCATTAAGCTCACTAACAATGAACAATTTACAGATGAAGGACCATGGTCCATGATAATAGCGTAGTCAATCTCTTTTCTTTTCCCACTCGACCACTTTCTGCCCCAAAGTCAAAACCCCTACAACATAGTCAATCTCATCTTCAAGCCTTCGGTAAGAATAACACCCATCTTGCTCTTCTTCAAAACCCCAACAACATAGTCTGTCTCGTAGTATCATTGTAGAATCAATTACATGATCTCTTCTGATAGTTGTTTGGACCTCCAGTTGCTGTTGTTGTTACTCATCATTTACACATAGATCTTGGGATCCAAATCTGGATCGGCACATAGAGACAGAGAGACAGAGAGACAGAGATAGAGAGATAGAAGGAGATAGAGAGGAAAGGAGGATTTATCAGCGGCAAGGGGGGAGGGGGTCACTGCCGGCAGGGTAGGATCGGGTGGCTAGGTGGGGAGATTGGTGTCTGTTGGGTTTTTGTTTTTTGTTTTTAAAATAAATAGTTTTAGTTTTTTTTAAAAAAATTTATTAAAAGTTAACACTTGTTTGTTGGTGGGGAGACAAAGTCCTTAGAATTCATTTTACAAACGGGTAAATTTGTCTTTAAAATTCTGAAGATAAGGTGGGTGAAAAAATAAGATTGGTGGGTGGAAATATCAACACTCAAACCAATTTCCTCATCTCGATCAAGCCACACTTCGAAAATCCATGATTGAATGTGTTGCGCCAAAACTTCCAATGAAAGATATTCACACACTAATTCTCGACCTTTGTTAGAGTCTAGGAAATGCCAATAAAATTTTCATACTAACACATTACAACATAGGAGTTAATTAGAATTGAAAGGGATCATCTAGTGGCTTTTCTTGCTGATTTAGAGCCCAAGAATCTGTCATGACCGAAAAAAAAAGTCCAAGAATGGACAACTTGGTTGGGAGGGGAATTCTCATTTGGTTGGCACTCTCTGCATTAACTTGTTTTATTAGCTATGCTCAAAACTGCATCATTCATTGGTGTGGCATCAAGTTATCACGTTTTTTGTAATCTTCATAAAGTAAAAAACAGTTGATAACAGTTTTAGAAGATATAAAAAATATTTTGAAATTGCGACTTTTACAAAGTTATTGTTTAGTATTAATGATATTCTTGGGGTGAAAAAGATATGTTTGTCAACCACAGAGAAGTGATCAGGCACCAGCTCAAATGCCCTGATCCAAAATTGGCCATCTGAACTAAAAGTTAAAAACCATTCATCTTGGTAGCAACATCTGTCTTTGAAGGCAGCAAGCAATATCATGATCAAAGAGCTAAGTGCTTACTCGTCAGGTTAAATTTCTTGTATACATGCCCTCCGGCCTCTGCCTATCCTCTCTTTTAAATGGAATTTGACCTTCAATCAACATAAGCCAGCAGGAGCAATGTACCATGCATTTTGTCTTATTTCTTCGTCCTACCCTTCAGAACCCACTTCAGAAACATCTTTGAGATTTATAATTTGGCATTACCCCTTTTTTTTTTATATATATAAAACAAATCAATGAAATGCTTTAGTTTGATTAGTTCTTAAATATTAGTTTATTTGGTCCATGCCTTGACACTGGAAAAATAAATAGCCTGCATATATCCAACCTACACCACCTCACGGCCATTTGCCTTGTATACATTATTCCAACTTCAAATAACTCCCAATTCTCTCCCCCTCTCTCTCTCTCTCTCTCTCTCTGTCTTTCTCTCTCTCACAAGTATATAAAAGTTTGCAGATAAAAATAAGTCATTGCCGTCTCATCTGCACAAACTCATTCTCCTTAATTTATATGAAAATGAAAAATAATTTCCTTGCCAACGATCACAATACAGAATCTTCTTTTCCCTTTTGGATTCTGTAATCATTCCAGATACCAAGTTATACATTCTGAGCATCCTTTCTTTACACAAACACTAAAGGAAGTAAGAAAGAAGACATAGTCTTCCTGGCCGGTTGAAGGCATATGCATATCTCCAATTCTGTCACCAATCATCTGTGTTCATTCATTTCAAGGATGTCATAATTGGGATATTTACCTTTTGCTTCCCACCATGGCCAAACTTATCTCGAGTTTCCTCCGTCGTCATAATCCGATGATACTCGTCTTTATTTTCCTCAGTGCCTTAAATTTTGTTTTCTCAGAGACCCCAGATGTTGAGTGTGTCATTGATATTCAAGCCTCTTCATCTTGGCGTAACTCAAGTTGTGAGGCAGGAAATTGGGGTGGATTTATCAGTAATTGTTGTGAAGTAGTTTTTGATGACTACCTGTATGCCTTGGGACAGAGGGCCAACCAGACCGGGAAGCTCTTCTTGAATTCCACAGAGCAGACAAACTGCTTAGTCCTAATGAAGGGTATTAAGGAGGATGTTTTGAGTTGTGGCATCGAGAAGCTAACAAGTGGAGCCGGCGGTTGCTCTGACTATACTAAACTAGATGTTTTTAATAATTTACGGAACACAATGGAAAGTTTAGAAGAAGACTGTAAGCTTTTGGGCACAGCCGAAAAATCTGATCAGGTTTGCAGTGCATGCTTGAAAAGGTGGGAAGAGATTGTTGCATCATCAGACAATAAGAGGGGTTCATCGAAGGTTGAAGCCAATATCTGTGGTTTTGCTGTTTTGGTATCCTTAACAAGCAAGAGGATTGATGATAAGGATTTTGTTCAGGCACTTTATGAATGCCTTGGGGGTCAGAGACTTTCAGCAGGTAGGCAGTCCTCTCCTTTTTCCTTTTACCATTAGAAGGTAGGCAGCCAGACAATCAGCAAAGATATTTGATTGTATTTCATGTCTTCATCTTTATACAATAATAAGTTGTAGCATTTTTGTTACTTAAACTCCGGCTAAGAAATTGCCTTTTGCTTCCATTGCAGATGAACAGCGAAGCTCGGGGACTAATGCTATAAACTTGAGCACAGGTAATTTAAATACATTATGGTCATCACAGCACCTTTTGAGTCCTAAATTCTAGGAAGTTTCTTTGCTGGCAGTTTTTTTTAAGGTCGGTCATGATGAAGTGGGGTTTCATGGTAATTTTGATTAATTTCATGAGAATGTCAGGTATATGGATTGTATCTGGTGGTCTAGGAGGAATTGCAGCAATGATACTCATTGCCACATGGACCTTATGTAGAAAACGGCCTCATAAGAGTGTTTCAGCTGAGAAATATGGTATTTCTCCAAAAAGTTTCACATCTCACTTGAAACCCAACGGTAGTAAAATGTTGCTAACCTGTGTTTTACTGGACAGCATCAAACGATTCACTGTCTGAAGAACCTGGCAACTTTAAAATATCAATCAAGGAAATTTATGCAGCGACCGACAATCTAAGTGCAGTCAATTTCATTGGCCAAGGCGGAGCTGGTAAGAATATCTATGATTCATTTTTTCTACTTTTGCTGTTGGTCATAATGACTGACTAATTAAAGATGTTCAAAAAGAGCAAAGCCAGGTCTGTAATGGAGAGTAAACCCTCTCCCGGAACAGGAAGAAATTTTAAGCAGAAACAAAGGCATATAATAGAATTACAGAAGAGAAGCTACCAAGAACTGGCTTCTAAATTCTAATACTATTCTGATAATATTCCAGGAAAGGTATATAAAGGCATATTCTTGAATGGGAAGCATGTTGCAGTCAAGCACATAATCAATGATGGCTCTGTAGAGACATTCATCAGAGAAGTAACAAGCCTTTCCGATGTTAGACATCCGAACCTTGTAGCTTTGCTTGGCTATTGTGAAGATGTAGAAGAATGTTTCCTGGTCTATGAACTTTGTCAAAATGGAAACCTTTCAGAGTGGCTATTTGGTAAGTTCATTCATATTTCCTTTTGTGAAAATTTTCTCTAGATTTTTCATCAATTGGAAAGCCAATTCAAAGCTGATTACAGGTAAAGATAAAAGTCTACCATGGATAACGAGACTTGAGCTTGCTATTGACAGTGCAAGAGGCCTTTGGTTTCTGCACACTTATCCGGATGGCTGCATTGTTCACCGCGATATCAAGGTAGGCCTATATTATCTGCACTATCTTCTGTTTTTGCCCCCTCTGTTGCTGTTTGTTTGCCGCTCATTTCTTCAAACAATTTTTCTTGTCCCAATTGGCAGCCAACAAACATTCTCATCGACAACAACTTTCAAGCCAAACTGTCAGACTTCGGGTTATCTAAAGTTATGGACTTGGGCCAGTCCTATGTGAGCTCAGAAGTGAGAGGGACATTTGGTTATGTCGATCCTGAGTACAGACGGAACCACCACGTAAATGCTTCAGGAGATGTCTACAGTTTTGGAATAGTTCTTCTACAACTTATCTCGGGGCGCAGGGTTATCAATCTGAACTCACAAAAACCAATGCCACTTAGTAAAATGGTGAGAAACTTCATATTTTCCACATTTGTAAAGAACTATTTCAAGTCACTGATTTGGCTTATTATGTTCCATGCCTTTGCTCTACAGGCCAGGGCCCTCACAAAAGGCGGTGATGTAACAGAATTTGCAGATCCTAAGCTTAACGGGGAGTACTCGGTTGTAGCCTTCGACCTTGTGTTCAACCTAGCTTTGTCATGCACAGGACTAAAGCAGCAAAGGCCAGGCATGGAGCAAGTGGTCTCAAAACTGGAAAAGGCACTAGATATCTCAACCCAAATGGAGCCAATTTCTTTGACCGCACCAATCAAGACTTGAAATTGAAGAAAGCATAGCAGAAAGTTTTTGTATATTGAAACAATCATGGATGATTTTCATCTTAGAAAATGTATCATACCATTAATTATTACTGATTTCATGTGGAAAAGGAATTAGAATAGATTACAATACAACAATTTTTTTGTACAAAGCTTCATTGAAAAAAAAAACAGAAGCTGATCATACAGTCATTAGCTCTTCAAAAAACCGAGCCAACAACAAAATAAAACTAGATAAAAGAACTAGAACAGCACCATATCTACAGAAGACCCCGAATTTACAAGAGGCCTGAAAAGAATTAGCAATGTAAGCATCCCGCAAAAATTTGGGTTACCTAACGTGAACAAATCTCTCTTGAGGAAGAACTCCACGAGCCACCGGGCCAGAGGATCGTCTTTCACGGAATTCGTGTAGTAGCCTGATGAGAGCACTAGCCTTTCTTCTTGCTCGAGATGTGCCTTCACTGAGTTGGGAATATAAAGATCCCATAAGAGAAGGGCTCTTAACCAGAAGAAGAACAACATCATTGCCACCATTTAGACAAAGAGCCAGCAACAAAGACACACAGAACTCCTTCCCTGCCCTTGGAATGGAGGAATTCAAAATCCTCACTATCGCATCCAAAGCTTTGCAACCCGAAATTGCAACTGATCCATCTGGTTTTTCCGCCAGAGTTGATAGAATTGCTAGAGCATCTGTGACAAGAACTTCACTATCAAAAGATGTTAAGATATTAACCAGCACAGGAACTAACCCTGCTGCTATCACCCTCCTATGATTTGCAGGGTGTGTAAGGAGCCCGAAAATCGCAACCAATGCGTTTTTCTTGGCCCTATCTGTCCCATCCTTGATCATCTCCATCAAAGCCGGCATGACCTCTGGATTTTCTCCAATCAATATCCGGTACTCCTCAATCGAAGCGAGGTAAAACATTGTGCCAGCAGCATGCTGACAAGCCTCTGGTTTGAGACCCTTCTTTAACACATCCACAATCAAATCCAGACCCCCATTTTCAACAATCGCATCCTTGCTTTTGGAATGCTTGGAGAGATTCAACAAGGCTGCAATGGCATTCTCTTGGGTCACTGAATCTGCTGAAGATAACAACTTTAACAAATGTGGGATCACACCAGCTTCAACCAAACAAGACCTGTTAAAAATGCTTGTTTTCGAAAGAAGCCGGATCTCATAAGCAGCCTTGTTCTGCTCTTCTCGTGTCCCAACATCCAGCCTGCCACTGAGGAACTCTGCCACCATCTTCATGGCTCCCTCAGCTGCCAAACTGCCAGCAACTGCAAGCCTAGTCTTCCCAATGTCACGATTTCGATGATCCGAAGCAGCAAACGGAACACAATTCGCAGCACAATACTGCTGAATCAACCTCTTCAGCGCCAAATTGGGGACCACCTCCATGTTCTTGAGCTTCTCACCCGTCTTGGGACAAATGGGATTGCCAGCTCTGAACCATTTCATAATCGAACTCCGATCGTAGCTATGCCCTGTCCTTATTGTCACAGGATCAACCATGATTTCCAACGAAATTGGGCACCGGAGATCTTCTACATTGAGACGATTCAACACCTCACTGCTACTGCATTTCGTCTCGGATCTTCGACCCCTTTCACCATCAACAACATTGAACAACACACATCGACAATAGCACATCAACCCCTTCAGGCTGCTCAAGAAACCCACTTCTCTCTTTTCTTCAGTCAAATTCTCAACCCCAATTTCTGAGTCCAAGAACTTGACTTGCCTCTCACAATTGCTCCACTTTCTAATCCCAAGATACTCGAGAACCCATTTCAAATCGCTCTCGCCCGAAACAACCCCTTTCTCAAACCCGACCAAGACGGACCTAACCGCCTCCACGACCCGAATATCATCCGGATCGACTTCAAACATCGCCTTTCGCGCTTGCCTAGTCACTAATTCTACATGCTCCTTCACCTCAACCGGTGCGTTGACCGAACCGAGAGGCAGAACATCGAGAGCCGTACCCATGGCCCTACTCAAGACCCGAAAATGGTTGGCTACACGATCCGAATTCATCAGCATCCATACCCGGGCGTCATCCCGGGTCAAATCTTCCAACAATAACTGGACTTTCTGGAAGGCCAAATGGAGCTCCGACAAGCACAGAACCGCCGAAGCCGAAAGACCCGACTGCCCGTCTCGGATTTCTTCGAGAAAAACTCGAACGACCCCGATTTGTCTTACCGTTTCGCGAGCGTTTCTGTTGTTGCTGGCGATGAATTTGGATTTGTAAGAGCAAATGACGTGGGTGAGAGTGATGAGTGAGTTCAGGAGCGTCTGGGGAGACATGGCTTCACATGGATGAACCGCCGGGTATGTGAGAATCCGGCGACCCGACCCGCTTCTTTGGATCATTTGAAACAAAATAACAAAGGGATAAAAAAGGTTGGTGTTTGGATTTGGGTTTTGTTTGTTTGTTTGGTTTTGAGGGCTGGACGTTCGCACATTTATATAGGGAGAAGAGTGGGGGACACGTGTCGAAGGGCTATTTGATAGTCAATGGGTTTACAGGATCCGAGGGCGCGTACAGAGTGAAACTTGAGAGTTCAGCGGTCAACACGTGGCGTGGGGGACACGTGGCCACGGGAAAGGCGGCTTCGTAGAGTATTTCGATTGGGGGAGGGCTAATGGGAGAGTGACACGTACAGCGTCGATTATGGGAAGGAAAGGCTCGTGGAGGTGAAGGGTACGTGAAGAGAGGTAGCCGACACTCGACACTTGACAGGTTGTGTGAATATAATAACGTGGAATTATTATGAGGAATTTTTTATTTCCATAGGATTAGTAGGAGGAAGTTGCGAATTTTACGTCCATTATGGAAGCAATAGTCAATTTGAATTTTTTATTTTTATTTTTATTTTATTTTTCAATTGATTTATACAAAATTCAAGCTTTGTAAATTGTAGTTTGTATAAAGGTCACAAGTCACGACAGTTGACAACAACCCAAAAAAAAAAAAAAAAAAAAGAGGTCACGACTTTGTGAACATTGGATGGGAACAAGAGACTTTCCTTTGGTTTGTGATTATTGCCTTTGACGTGTAATTGACTAGGAGAATTCAAGTATAGTTATGAGCAAATATACAACAGTAAGAAATTTGTAGTTTAAGTGATTAAAAATATTTACTCTTTCATCCGAAGTTTTAGGTTCGATTACCTTCTTTCTTAATTTCACTTATCTAAAAGAAAAAACAACCATAAAAAGAGATGTTGATATATATGATACTTAAATCGAATTTACAGTAAATTTCACTTGTATAAAAAGAAAAAATAACCACAAAAAGAGATGTTGCTAGGTATAATCCTTACATCAAATTTACAGTAAATGATAGGAGTTTATAGTTTCCGTGATAGTGTACGTGCAACACTACACAATTCAACTATACTTTTTGCCTCTTCCTTTTTTTGGGCTTTTGCTTAGTGTGCGGGATCCCCATGTCTTTGGACTTCGGTGATGGCAAAATGAAACCAACTTTCCCCCTTTAGTTTGAAGTGAAAACTACTCGCTCAACTCCTTTAATAACTTTTTGGTTTTGATGTGGAGAGAAAACAAAAATAAAAGTTAACAACTTGCGCAACTATGAAAATCAGACTAGTTGGTATCTTGTTCTTGCTTTCCAACAATATTTGGCATATTGTGATCCTGCCCATCATCTTATGCAACAGGCTGGCTTAGATTTTGAAGGCTGATTCTCTGCTCTCTACATGGTACCCTTTAATTATATCTTCTCACATCAATCAAATTCAGAATTTTAACCAAATCACAGGTGACGCCACCATACAGTTTTCGGCTACTTGCAGGGCGTTTTATTGCAATGTATGGAAATATGTTATCTGTCATATCAAGCACCTCTCCAAAGCCAGCTACAAAACTTCTGGCAAATCTGGCCCTTTTCTGAAAGAGACTGAACATTTTTTGGTCAGCCTATACTTTTCCTTCTTGTTTTTGTCAAGGAAAACTCAATGATATATATGTTCTTCCATTCAATTCTTCTGAATATATAATCTCTGAGTACGCGTAATAATGGAATTTGAATTTGGGACATCTTTCGTTAGTACGGAAAGAAAAATACTACTAGACCGAGAGCTAGTTAGTCACCACTAGTATTGTAGCTGCTAAATCGCAACTTGTTAACCAAAATGAGAAAAAGGAAAGCAAAATGATTCATTTTCAGCTGGTCAAATAATTTGGCTAGGACCTGTGTGAAGGCCAACCCATTATAGTTTGGCCTAATTCAATTATACAGTACTTCCTTCTGCTTTCCATAATAACACCTGGACCACATCCAGAAGTTAAAATGGTGCATCCAACAAAGGAGGTTGCGGCTACGATACCCATCAACATTTAAGTGAGAGTCTAAATCATGCATTGCCCTGACTTTTGGGCAGCCCCAGCAGCAAGATGTACCAAGCCTCTCAAAATCACACTCACATGAGCTTTTCTGATATTGTCTCTAGGATACTAAATTTAAAACGCCTAATAAAAGGATACTATCATACTAGGAAATATATAGCCAGCCAGCTAATAGACAACTAAGCAAGATTATGAATGTGGTTTTGAACCTCCCTAAAACCTCTCCCAATAAATACCAATAGCATCCAACCATTTTGATTCAGCTATCTGATATAATAAAAGCTAAGATGGCATTTTTGCAGGGAAACCTCCCCTGCTTTTGTGTTTTAATTTTGTGTATGGCAGTACTGGTTTCTTCACATAATAGATACTACACAAGCCCAAGCGTTCCACGTTTGACAGACGATTTCCCTCGCGTACCAATTAGTAATGGGTTTTCGAAAGCTTACGGAGCCTCAAACATTCAGGTGATCAATGGATCCATGGCCACTCTTGCTCTTGACAAGTCCTCAGGTGAAGTCCTTATTCAGAGTGATGCTCAATTATGACCCTGATGATTTTTAAGTTATAGTTTGGTTGAATTCATTATTAATTATCAGGTTCTTTTGTTTTTGGTTCAACATGCAGGATCTGGATTGGTATCTGTAAACAAATATCACTATGGATTCTTCAGTGCTGCCATCAAGCTGCCTGCTGGTCTCACTTCTGGGGTTGTAGTGGCTTT